AGCCGAAACGTTAGCCTAATAATAAATATTATATCAATCTTGGCTTACGGCTCAACGCTAAAAGAAGAACGAGTTTATTTAGCGTCACAATCAGTTGTCTACTGTAGCTAGTAGTAGCAAAGCCGAGAGTGTGCTCGACACTGGTGGTCCTACCAGATGCCTTTTTTAGAAGGTACAGAAATGAGCCTACTCCAAACATCACGAAGGGAAGATAAAAAGGGAAGAAGATTACGGGATTTTTTTGCTATAAGAAAATGTGTTCTCTCAGCTGATAAATATTCAAAAAAATTGGTTTACAGAAAAAAAGATGAGCATAAGCCCATCTAACTTCTTCAGCAGCTAACTAGCAACAGAAAACTGGTAGGGAGTATGATGTATCTGACGTTGTTTTAATCCTAAGAAAATGTTTTTTTTTCAGAACAATGTGAAGATTTTGGATTATCGTAAGACATTTTTAGGAAGAGATAATTACCATTGAAAAATCCCATTTTAGTCTCGAATTCCTTGGCAATTTGCATGTAACGAAGAGTGCGATCGGCACTAATCTCAAGCCATAGCGCTTGATGATTTAAAGGATGCCTGAATACGACGAGGTTTTTGGCTATCAGGACAAGCTGTGAAGGCTTACCCCTCTATAGCAAACTCTGCGAACGACTCCTCAAAAAATTCTTTAATATTCTTATGCTTGTCGTGAAGCTTCCAGTCTAATATATCTATTGTCGGTTCCAAGATGTAGGGCACATCGCTTGCATGTGTAGCTCCTGAATATTATTCGTTTCAAAAAATCGATGCCTCAGAATACCGAACTTTTGAGGAAGCTACGAAAGGAAACAAACAAAGTGAATTAACATCAGAGATCACTTTCAAGTTGATAATAGGAGGAGATGGCACCTACTTCTCAGTCTTTTCGGGATATCATCGTCTCCATACGCATCATTATAAAGATCGAAAACGTATGCGTATATATCCCAACGAGCATCACGACGAGCATAGATCCCGTTTACTGCGGGCACGTTGAAGAGTAAATCGCTGAGAAACTGTAATTTCCTAAGAAATAATTTTTCTCAAGAAAAGGCATAAGCATACCTCAGTATAGCGATCGATGTAAAACTCGAAAGTTTGTTCCCCATCTCTGTCTACATAAAATGCAACTACCTCATTTATTACATCTTGTAGGTGATCTCCAACGTAAACCATTTCAATAAATTTCTGAAAA